GCAATTGAAAATGCTCTTTCAAGGAGCTGGTAATCCAACACTAAGAATGTCATTTTTTTTTTTTTTTTAAGAATATCACTTTGTACACCTGAAACTGAAAATGTAATGTGTGTCCACTATACTTCAATTCTTTCTTTAAACATCATTTTGTTCACATGCTTACCAAAAATTCTGAGTCAACCTCAAGTCACTAAAAAATGCCATCTCCCTTCTCTGGATAAAAAACAAGTGAAACAGGGGCGCCTGGGTGGCTCAGTGGGTTAAGCCGCTGTCTTCGGCTCAGGTCATGATCTCAGGGTCCTGGGATCAAGTCCCGCATCAGGCTCTCTGCTCAGCAGGGAGCCTGCTGCCCCGCCCCCTCTGCCTGCCTCTCTGTCTACTTGTGATCTCTCTCTGTCAAATAAATAAATAAAATCTTTTAAAAATTTAAAAAAAAAAAAAAAAAAAAAACAAGTGAAACAGGTAACAGGGGCATGTAAGCAAAGGTAGAAATGAAGAACTGTGTATGGCCACGTAAATGGGGCTGTGATACTTTATATCATTATTTAGACTGAAAAGTAAAATCAAAGGTCAAAGTTTTCCAATAGGGACCAAGAGGAAATGTTACAAATATCCATGATATAATCAAAACTAAACACAACCTGGGGCACCTGGGTGGCTCAGTGGGTTAAAGCCTCTGCCTTCGGCTCAGGTCATGATCTCAGGGTCCTGGGATCAAGTCCCGCATTGGGCTCTCTGCTCAGCAGGGAGCCTGCTTCCTTGTCTCTCTCTCTCTGCTGCTGCTCTGCTTACTTGTGATCTCTGTCTGTCAAATAAATAAATAAATAAATAAACTCTTTAAAAAATTAAAAAAAAAAAACAAAAAACAACTAAACACAACCTATAGCCAGTTCAGAAAGCTGGATAATCTTCAAAGTGTTTTCATACATTAATTAATCCTCATGGCATCCCTAGGATGAAAGAAATTTAAGTCTTATATTTCAGTTACTTACATAACCACAGGAAAAAAATCTGAATGGATCAAGATGTGCTGTTTTTTTTTTTTTTTTAAACATTTTATTTATTTATTTGAGAGAAGAGAGAGACAGTGAGAGAGAGCATGAGCGAGGAGAAGGTCAGAGGGAGAAGCAGACTCCCCGTGGAGCTGGGAGCCTGATGTGGGACTCGATCCAGGGACTCCAGGATCATGACCTGAGCTGAAGGCAGTCGCTTAACCAACTGAGCCACCCAGGCGCCCCAAGATGTGCTGTTTTAATAAGGAAAGCCAACAAATATTTCATCCGGGGCACCTGGGTGGCTCAGTCGTTAGGTATCTGCCTTCGGCTTGGGTCATGCTCCCAGGGTCTTGGGATCCAGCCCCCATCAGACTCCCTGCTCAATAGAAAGCCTGCTTCTCCCTCTCCCACTCCCCCTGCCTGTGTTCCCTCTCTCGCTGTATTTCTCTCTCTGTCAAATAAATAAATAAAATATTATTTAAAATATTTCATCAAATATTAAGGGTCTACCATATCATCAGCACTATACAAGGCACATTGACATGACCTATTTTACATCAAACAACACCTCTGGCAACCTCAACCTTAAGGTACACAGTTATGAGAAAAGAAACACTCCTGAGATATGGATAACAGCTATTACAGAGCTATATACGGCACTCATGGCCAGAACACACTAACTTACTTAAAAACAGATGTAAAATTGGGGCATCTGGGTGTCTCAGTCAGTTAAGCATCTGCCTTTGGCTCAGGTCATGATCCCAGGGTCCTGGGATGGCGCCCCATGTCAGGCCTCCTGCTTCACGGGGAGTCTGCTTTGCCCTCTCCTTCTGCCCCTCCCCACCGTTCATGCTTGTGTGCTCTCTCTCAAATAAATAAGTAAAATCTGAAAAAAAAAAAAAAAAAAAGATGATGTAAAATTAAGATGATTTACTGGGAACATTCCCCTGACAAGGACTGTTTGCTATATGAGAAAGATAGGGAACAGGGATTGGTGGTGTGTTATTTTATTTTTTATTTTTAAAGATTTTATTTATTTATTTGACAGAGAGAGAGAGAGAGAGACAGTGAGAGATGGAATACAAGCAAGGGAAGAGGGAGAGTGAGAAGCAGGCTTCCCGTGGAGCAGGGAGCCCAACATGGGGCTCAATCCCAGGATGCTAGGATCATGACCAGAGCCGAAGGCAAATGCCCAATGACTGGGCCACCCAGGCACCCCGGTGATGTGTTATTTTAAATGGAATGATCAGAGAAGGCCTCAGTAAGAGGACATCTTAGTAGAGACATGAATGAAGAGAGAAAGCAAGCCACATGGTTAAATAGAGGAATAAGTGCCACCAGGCAGAGGCAATAAGTACAAGAGTCTTGAAGTGGCGTCACACCTGCTGCACACGCTCCACCCACCCAGCAGACTTTCCCCTTGGATGTCCTGTTGCTACTCCCACTGTGCCCTGCCAAATCTTCCTGATTCCAAGGCTCACCAGACTCTCCCAGGCATACAAACCTGAATCCTCAGTCTATTATGTCCTTCATTCTTCTTTCAGCAATCAGTGACCAGCTCACTGTAACATGACTATACCTTCAAAAAACGTTACATCTTGGGGCACCTGAGTGGCTCAGTAAGTTAAGTGTCCAACTCTTGATTTCATCTCAGGTCATGATCTCAGGGTCTTGGGATCAAGCCCCACGGTAGGCTCCACACTAAGAGAGGAATCTGCTTTAAGATTCTCTCCCTCTCCCCCAGCTTGCTCAAGTACACACTCTCTCTCGAATAAGTATATCTTTTTTTTTTTTTAAAGATTTTATTTATTTGACAGAGAGAGATCACAAGTAGGCAGAGAGGCAAGCAGAGAGAGAGAGGGAGGAGGAAGCAGGCTCCCCGCCCAGCAGAGAGCCCAATGCGGGACTCGATCCCAGGACCCTGAGATCATGACCTGAGCTGAAGGCAGAGGCTTAACCCACTGAGCCACCCAGGCAGCCCTCAAATAAATATATCTTTAAAAAAAAAAAAAAGTTACAGGGCACCTGGGTGGCTCAGTAGGTTAAAGCCTCTGCCTTCGGCTCGGGTCATGATCTCAGGGTCCTGGAATCGAGCCCCACATCGGGCTCTCTGCTCGGCGGGGAGCCTGCTTCCCCCTTTCTCTCTGCCTACTTGTGATTTCTGTCTGTCAAATAAATAAAAAAAACTAAAAAAAAAAAAAGTTACACCTCTCCCTTCCCCCGCATTCCTAACACCCACCCCCACATCCAATTCATTGTGCATACTGTTCACAAATGAATGCTTCTTACACACTGCGTTCATCATGTTACTCATTCTCCATTCCATCCACAATATCTACAATACCTAATGAACATTCTCCTTTCACTGTCCTACATACACACTGTTCTACATATTCACCTAAATCTTCATTCATGTTCCTTCCTTTGACATGCCTTTTCTTCTTATCTATCTAGACTTCACCTTTCAAGTCCCTTTTCAGAGAGCTTTACATGACTAACTACATCAGCCTTCATGGATTTCTCCCTTCTCAGAAACTATATGGTTTAGTATAAAATCTAACATTTGTGGTTTCTCTCCTCCCTACCCCATCCACCTTGCAAAGCATCATTAATATCATAGTTCAAACACTTTATAATTGCTCTGTTTCATGTTTAGCTGGACTAAAACTCCCTGAGGAAGGGGATTATGATTTTCTCTTTCCAAAGGGCCTTGCAGAAAATAGCACTTATATTTTTAGCACCATGCACCATATCTTGTATTAAATGCTTTACGCACTTTATCACATCAATCATCACAATTACGTTGTGTTATTGGTATTCTTCTTCCTATTTTACAGAAGAAACAAAGGCACAAAGAGGTCAGGCTGAAGTCATATATCTTAGAAAAGACAGGGCTGGGATTTGGGGTAAAGTCTGTCTCTCGAAGTTGACACAAAATAAAGGCTGCAAACTAACATTTGTTGAATTATCCTAATCATTTGTGTGTTGATGGCCATGTCACTCCAAATGAATTAATAAAGGTAGAAACCATGCCCAGAGGTTTATCGGGTGTAGTAGGGAGAAGGAATGCCTTTCCTTGCTGAGTACCCATCAGGTAGATACCAGACTCAGTGGTAGGCCTTTCACATCAAGCATCTCATTTACTCTGTAAAAACTCATTAACTGCAAATTATCTTCAATAAATAGAGTTTACAATTCCTCCATCACAGATTTACCCAAAATGTCACCCACTCTTAACCCAAGCCCAAATGCAACCAGATGCCAGGTGTATTACCCTCCTCGGCTACCCTCTAACTCAAGGACGAGGACAAAGCCTCCTGGCTCCCATCAGCCAGTAGGGAGTTAAAAATCTCAACTTAAACATTTACCAGGTGCCTGGCCCCGGCCTCTTCAGGACCGTGCTCTCCATTCTAAAACTCACGCTCTCACTTACTAAGCACCACAGCCCTGGGAGGTAGGTGCCATTTTTTCCACTTTACAGATACATTAAGCTCACGCGGTCGATGGCAGATTCGGAATTAGAATGCAGGTCTCCTGAATATCCACCCTGTTCCATTCCCTCAGGAGTTACTCATAGACGGTAACCGATTTATACCGCTGTCGCTGAGTACTCGAAATAGCAAAAGCGCTGTAACAACTTTCATTCAACAGGTATTTATTGGACGCCTGTCAACCCTGTAGGTTCAAATGCCATCTCCTTCCCTAATTCGCTATGTGACACGGAGAAAGCCGTTTCATCTCCCTAGGTGAATTCCCTCAAGCGTCTATGGAGATAGCATCTATCAACAGCAACGTCGTGAGAAGCAAATGAGATGAGGAAACTGACTCAATCGCCTGACACTCTGTCTGGTACACGGTGGGCACCTAGTAATTATGGGTTCCCTTCACTCCGCCCCACAAGCCTCGGGGTTCACCCACTACCACCACGCGACAGGGCATCCACTCGACCAGAGGCCCGCAGGCGGCCTCTGCGTTTCGCAGGCCCGGGGCCAACCGCACTCTTACCTGCATGGAGTCAGCGCTAACGATTTCGCCACCGAGCCGCTGGCCTAGCTGCAACGCCAGGGTGGATTTGCCGGTGCCCGTGGCCCCGAGAATCACTACAAGAGGCAGTGTCCGTGGCAGACCCCGCAGCCCGGCGCTCACAGAAACTGCTCGTGCAGCCGCCGCCGCCGCCATCTTGAAGATATCTGCGATTGCGCGGGAGCAGCTGTCCCCATGGCAACCGTCAGTGCGCCTGCGCATACCTAGGGTTCCGCGAGGAGGACGAGAGGAGAGGTGGGTGGGGCGAGACCACGGTTTCCAAGCTTAAGAAGCTTCCGACAGGCCTGCCATCAGCTTGCTGGTATCAGAGGCTCGACAATCTTCCTCTCTCCTTTTTGTTTTTTTGTTTTTTTTAATAACTGATTGTCGATTTATTAAATATTTTTTTAAAACTATCTCCTCTCTTAAATGAGGGATGGCGGTCCTATCTCAAGTCTATTCCTGTTGTTTTTTCTTTCACGGCGCCTAGTTCTTTTCTTCATACCACTAATTACAATATAAAAATATATACTGATTTCTCGTGTAGTGTCTGATTTCCATTCCAGGCTGTTAGCTCCATAAAGGCAAGGAACAGATTCTGCCTAGGTCATTGCTGTATCTCCAGTGCCTAGCACAGTGTCTGATACAGAAAGATACCCAATAATTGTTAAACGGAAAGGAGAATGGTTTGCCTATCTACTGCTGGAGCCAGTGAGCTAGATGTGTGGTGTTCTCCAGGATCAGATCTGCCCAGTTCTCAAGCAAGGGCGGCTGCTCTAACATTTTTATCCCAAAACGCAAAGCCAGACACAATCAGAAGGTAGGACAAAAGTTTTCTCCTTTTTGGTGAAAAGAATGCAAGAAATGGGTTAAGAACAGCAAGTAAACAACCCACAAAATATGAAGAGGAAAAATAAGGAAGGAAGAAAGGGTAAAGGAGTAGTAACCCTCAAATTAAAGCGGAGACCAGAGGACCAAAATTCAGGAAACCCTACAACCTGGGATGCCTGGGTGGCTCAGTCAATTAAACATCTGCCTTCCGCTCAGGTCATGATTCCAGGGTCCTGGGATTGAGCCCCACAATAGGCTCCCTGCTCAACGGGGAGTCTGCTTCTCCCTCTTCCTCTTCCTCTGCCCCTCTTCCCCCACTCATGTTCTCTCTCTCTCTATCTCAAATAAATAAAATAAAATCTAAGAAAGAAAGAGTAAGCTTTGAAATCATAGACCACGGTTCAAATCCCAGTTTTGCTACTTATCAGCTGCTGTGTGACCTCACACAATTAACTTTACCTTTTAGCCTCAATTTTATCATGAAATACCTCTCAGGACTGTCATAAGGATAAATTGAAGTTACATCTGAAAAGTACCTGCTACAACACCCAAGCACAGAATGACCACCATTTGTTGAACACTTCGTATTATTATAATGGTAACACCCCATCTGCCTCACTAAAGAGGTAAGAGCAACAACCTAAGGCCAGAGAAATTTTCAGACCATGTAAATTACCTAAATATACATTCTACTAACCCCATGTTAGCCAATTTAAGGGTTAATTTTTTTTCTGCCTGAGATCACTTGTCTCTGCCTAGCTCTCAGGTCATATCACCCAGATCCCTTGGGCCAGAGGAGTTACCCCCTAGAAGTTTAGAGCATATGATAGGCCTGCCTGGAATAAGTGTCGATACATTTCTCCATTGCTTGGATCACTGCTGGCAAATGGCCACTCTTGCAGACCCAGCCTAAACCTTGTAGCCACATGTATTGTTTGGAGAACATCAGAACCTAGGGTACCCTGTCCCTCCTTTTCTCAATCCAGTCTGCTTTAATCAAAAGCCTGTTCTCTCCGATTTGTGGTACCCGCCTGGGGCTGGTTTTAAAATCGAGATGTGTGGTCGTATATTGGCAGACACTCTCACATGATGGTTGTTAACTGTAGAGCCTTTGCCTGGAGACTTTCAGAGGGTACGGTTACCATGACAACTACTAGAAAGATGGCAGGCAGGAGAAATGATGCAAATAAAGCAAAAGGGAGGCTAATTTCATGATGACAATCTGACCATGACAGAGTGTGCTCACTCACAGATGGTAAAGCACTGTCCAAGTCATGACCAGGTGACTGTTACTAGAGAGAGAAAAAAAGAGGGGAGTGGAATTTACCACTGAGAGACCCAAAGAGGGAGAAGCTGGTTACCAAGGCAACTGGGGAGAAAGGAATGAAAAAATGGGGCTTCACCACAGCAGCAGCAAATTGCTTCTAGCCAAGCAACACAGGACTGTTGCTATAGAAACAAAGAGAACAGGGATCCTATAGACCATGGGGAGAATTATCACTGAAATGCTGAGCAGGAAAGACTCCTAAATCAGAATGGAGCCCATGGTCCAAAACAAATCAGGAGAGGTGAGAAAAACAACATACCATTTCCATTTGCTTTAATTCTACCAGTCCTACCCCAAGAAAATAGGAACATATTTTTTAAATACCTTTAGGCTATTTCCTTTGTACCTTTGTTTGTCTCCCTCATGACAGTTCTGAACTCTAAATTATACTAAGAATAGTTCCTTCGAGATAATCTGTAACTTGAAACCCTCACTGGTATGTTTAAGTTCAAGGGAAAATTGGGAAATTGAAGTCTATGACCAAGAATTAATAAGAATTTATTTTAAAAACATAAAATCCTCTTATAGGAAGATTTGCATGGTAATAAGGAAATAAATGGTGACAAAGGGAGCCAAGAAAGCTATTTGGGGGCACCTGGGTGGCTCAGTCAGTTGAGTGACTGGCTCTTGATTTCTGCTCAGGTCAAGATCTCAGGGTTTTGGGATCAAGCCCCATGTCAGGCTCCTTGCTCAGCAGGGAGTCTGTTGGAGATTCTCTCTCTCTCCCACTCTCTCTGCCTCTCCCTCCCTCCCTCTCTAAAATAAGTCATTACTTGGGGTGCCTGGGTGGCTCAGTGGGTTAAAGCCTCTGCCTTCAGCTCAGGTCATGATCCCAGGCTCCTGGGATCGAGCCCTGCATCAGGCTCTCTGCTCAGCAGGGAGCCTGCATCCTCCTCTCTCTCTCTGACTGCCTCTCTGCCTACTTGTGATCTCTGTCAAATAAATAAATAAAATCTTTAAAAAAAAATAAAAAATAAAGTAATTACAAAAAAAGAGAGAGATTGAGAGAGAGAAAAGAAAGCTATTTGTAGTTATGCCCAAGTATTAGCCCTGATCCCTCTCCCCATTCTCTGAGGCCTGATGGGAAGTAGCTCAATATATTCTGAAAGATAACTAAAGAGGAAAGGGAGTCTCTTATTTAAGGTATATTGTATATCTAGAGGTGGAGAATGAGAAGCCCACCTCCCATACTCTACTGCTTACAGATTCTGGTTGAAAAGGTAAAAATGCTGGGATGGCTTCAGTCCAGAGCATATCTAAAATTTAAGAATAAGGAACTAGGGACATTCATATTACTTGGAGGATAATAATTCTTTGCCTCCCCTTCTGATAGTCCACAGCCAGCCACCTAATTATTATCTCTAGTGTGCGCGTGTTGTACAGTGTCTGTCTGTAGGACAGTCGTATAGTCAGGCTGAACAACCTCTGCACCAGTCTTACCGTCTTTAGAAAACTGAGAGCAAGGGCGCCTGGGTGGCTCAGTGGGTTAAAGCCTCTGCCCTCAGCTCAAGTCATGATCTCAGGGTCCTGGGATCTAGTCCTGCATCGGGCTCTCTGCTCAGCAGGGAGCCTGCATCCTCCTCTCTCTCTCTCACTGCCTCTCTGCCTACTTGTGATCTCTGTCCATCAAATAAATAGATAAAATCTAAAAAAGAAAAAAAGAAAGAAAGAAAATTGAGAGCAGTGGTGCCTGGGTGGCTCAATCATTAAGCATCTGCCTTCTGCTCAGGTCCTGATCCCAGGATCCTGGGATCCTGATCCCCACCTTGGGCTCCCTGTTCAGCAGGAAGCCTCCTTCTCCCTCTCTCCTACTCTCCCTGCTTGTGTTCCTTCTCTTGCTGTGTCTCTCTCTCTGTCAAATAAATAAATAAAATCTTTAAAAAAATAAAAAGAAAATTGAGAGCAGTACATGGAGTGAGATGGCATGGAAACATGGCAAAAAAAGAGAAAGGGGGAAATACATAGAGGTAGAGGGGATATCTGACTCGCTAGTGTTCATTATGTTATTTCTTGTCCTCTGTATATTTTAAATAACTTACTTAAAATTTTTTAGAGGAGGCTAAAAGTGAAGCCATTGGAGTCGAAGGGAGATTCAAAGTGAAGCGTCCAGAAAGCTTAAATGTTCAACATGGAAATCGAGAGGATGCTGTGATAGGACAGAAGGAGGAATGTGCCATGGGAGGTCTGAAGCATCTGTTTTCGTTGAGTTGAAGATAAACACTAGCTTTTTATACAACCCTAGGTGCCTTTTCAGCCTGATCCCCATACTAATTAGGTACCCGAAATAAAATATATATCTTGTGGGATTATTTTATGATGAACTTGGTGCCTGTATTAGTCTCTTAGGGCTGTTATAACACATTGCCACAAACTGTGTGGCTTAAAACAACAGAAATTTATTTTCTCACAGTTCTCGACCCCAGAAGCCCAAAACCAAGGGGTTGGCAGGGCCATGGTCCCAAGCCTCCCTCTAGGGAAGAATCCTTCTTTGCCTCTTCTAGCTTCCAGTGGTTGCTGGCATTCCTTGGTTTGTGGCGGCATGACTCCAATACTGCCTCTGTTTTCATATGGCCATCTTCTCTGTGTGTATCTCTTCCACATTTCTCCCTCCCTAGGATGCCAGTCATTGAATTAGAGCCCACCTTAATCCATTATGACATCATCTGAACTTGATTACATCTGCAGACACCCTATTTACAAACAAGGTCACATTCATGGGTTCTGGATAGACACAAGTTTGGTGGGGGACAAGATACAACCCAGCTGAGTGCCTGTGAGTCCTCACAATACTTTGCATTGGTTGCTGTTTCCACTGGCGAATTGTCAATTCAAATTTGGGAGCTCAAAACAAGCGAGGTTCCCCTCACCAGAGTGGAGCTCACCATGTTGTAGGGTTTCTGTTATACCTAAAGTTGAGTTACAGGGTTTTCTCCAGAGCCCACCAGAATGTCCTCAGAGGGGGCTCACTTCTGGTCTTCTCAGCTGTCTAAGAGGGCCT